CTTATATCATAGTGTTTTTCATCATATGCAGGAAAAGTTAATGATGATGCTTGTCCCAGGTCCCTGCCCTTACTTCACAAGTATTTTGCAACACTGGAACATTAGACTAATAGGTATCATTGCCATTTATCAAATTTATATTTGATATATATCAAATATGTATCTATAAGGCTCTGGTATATTGTTAAAGTTTCTTTTTAGTGTGGATGCCTGCAATAAAACCTACTTTTTAAAATTATGAGTCCATAAAGCTTCAGAAAACTAGAAGAAATAACAAGTTTAGGCAATATCTTGACATTTTCCCACTATGAGTCTGAACACTTAAATATCTAGTAATCTCCAAGGGATTTATTGAATTTATCTCTTTTGATCATATATGAGTATCTTAAAGTCATAGATTTGGCTACTAAATTTGATAGTTTTCTTTCCTAGTTGCACATCAAGTAAAGAAACAGCTGTAAGAAAACCATGACCATTTTCCCTGATTTGTAGAACCCAAACAGAAGAAAAAGTCCCCATATAAAAATGGATATGTTTAGAACATTAAAGGGTGCTCTTTTAGAACTTTCTCTACAAAAGTATTTCAGATATAAAGACTGTAAAATGCCAGTCCTAATTTTAGAATCTTTCATAGGGAATAAAAATGGAAAGATAGAAAATTACTGGCAATGAAAATCTGGGGATATTGATTGATTACCTACATACTTTTCTAAGAACTACAGAAAGTATTCTTTTTACAAACAGAAAAACCACAGCAATCTTTCATTACTTAAAACCTTTTTACTTTTAATTTATTTTTGCAAGTATGATTATTTAACAATCTTTGAATCATTTGAGCTTGTCTCTTGTTACGTGATGTAACACAATATTTATCTTATTTCCCTCAAAAACTTAGTTTAAGAAAATCACTAATTGTGGGAGATACAGAACCAGATATGTGAATGGTTCCATGCACACTAGAAATGTTTTAGCATATTAACAATGTTAACATTGATAGGCAGTACTGTTACATCTATAAAAATTCAAATGAAAACAATTATTAAAAGATTAATGTGGATCATGAAGTGGAATAAAATACTTTTTCTGCTCTCCATCATGGTATATATTAAAAAAAGTTTCATATATTTCCTTCAAGGGTTCTTTCCTGAATGACCTAGGAATTATTGATTGTTTCCCCTCACTGTGCCAGGAGTTGCCCACAAACATTCAGCATCAGAGATGTGAAGAGCAATACACATATAGGAAAGTACTTAAAACAAGTACACAACTCAGTGACTATGAAACAAATATCCATAGAGGTGTGCTAACAAACCAGTATCTCTCTGCCTTTCTCTTCCCAGTTACAATTTTACCTTGCTCCCCTAAATGTAAGCATTATTTTGTAATTTTTGGTAAAGAATTCCTTGCTTTAAAAAAAAATGCTTTTTATGAGTAAGAATGAATTCCTAAACAATATAATTTTTTTAACCATATAAATAAAATAGTATATATAGTATGTAGTCTTTTTTAATTGGCTTCTTTGCTTACTTTGGGTTTATAAGTTTCATCCATGTTTATATATATATGTGGCTCTAGTTCATTCACTTTTCTGGCTATGATATTTCATTGAAGGAATATAACAACTTTCATTGATGGACATTTGATTATATCCACTGTTTTAGCCATTATGAATAATGCTGATTTGAATATTCCTGCCCATCTGCACCCATTTCTAGAGCATTTACTTTGGAGTGGAATTGCTAAGTTATAGGATATGCATTTATTACATAATGCCATTTTTTCCCAGTTTATTAAAGCAAGTTATACTCTCCAGTCTTACCAGTTCTTCATAATGTCAGACTTTCCATTTTTATCCATTGGTATGCAGTTATGGAATATTGAAGTGGCTTTATTTATCATTTTTCCTTATTTCTAGTAAGGTTGAGCACCTTTTCTTACATTTATTGACTATTTGGATTTCTCTTTTTTCTGATGTTCCTATTCTGATCTCTTGTCCATTTTCTAATTATATCTTTTCCTTGCTGATTTGTAATCATTCACTATACATTCTAGATACAAGCTATGTGTTATGTGTATTGCAAATATCTTCTCTCACTCTGTCATTTACCTTTTTATCACTTACTAGTGTCTTTTGAATAACAATTCTTTTTTATATTTTAATTTTTATAAAACCAGATTTAACACTTTTTAAAGTTCCTTTTTGTTATAACTAGAATTATTTTTTTCATCTTCCTTAAGGCATCAAAATATTTCTTGAGACAATCAAGATATTTCCTTAGATTATTTTCTAAAAGCTATATTTCCTGTTTTCTAGTCATCCAATATGGCTTTTTTACCCTATTTTCCTTGAAGATGTAAATACCATCAAATTATTTCCAGTCTCAGTCCCTCCTCTGAGCTACAGATATGTATTTATAGTTTTTTGACTGACCTGGTTGTTTATTTCAAATGTAAAAGATTCAGAAAGAAACTTGATTTCCCTATGCCCAAACCCCATCCTCCTCCCAGATTTTCCTCTCAGTTGTTCAGGTTCAAAGTTTTGAATCAGCTTTGATCTCTCCCTTTCTCTCAGCCCCTAAATCTAGTCTGTCAGAAATTCTTGTTTCTTCCAACAAATATTTCCTGAATTAAACTACTTTTCACCTTCTTCACTGCTAGCTCCTCAATCCAAACCAGTCCCATTTTTTCCCCTGGATTAGCTCAATATTCTAATGACTCTTCTGCATTCTACTTTTGTTCTCCTATAATTCTTTCTCTTCAAAGTAGCTAGATTAATCTTTAGAAAGTAGAAAATTGATCATATTATTCCTCTTTAAACTCTTATCCTCAAAGTTTAGAATAAAATTGAAACTTCTTTGTAATGGTTCACATGGCTATTTTTTTCAACTTCATCTACCATGAGTCTCTAGCCATATTGACTTCTTACTATTCCTCCAACTCACAAACGTAGTCATTTTAGGACTTTTACACTTGCTTCTTCCTCTTCCTGCCTTGTTCTTTCCTAGAGGTTGGATTGACTAGCTCAGATTAGTGCCTGGTACACTGTAAATGCTCAGAAAATATTGAAAACAAATGGATGGATGAAAAAATTAATGACTGGCTAGATGGATGAATTTTACTGGGGGAAAACCATTTATTAATGTGCTAACTTATTTTTATTGTTTAGTAATTTTAGTTTAATTTGTATAATTGGAGATAGGTTAAATGGAGACATAACCCTGGAAAACACACTGTGAACTGTTAGCTATTTTAAATTAATGCCTCAATTTCATTCAGTTGCCTTTTTCTCCAAAGGGATTTCTGCTTACATTGATTTTTGATGGGTTTAATTTCTTTTCTCTGGATGATTTGTTTCATGGTTAGGTACCAGATTAAACAAGTGAATATTCCAATACTCTAAAATTCCTCTTTTATCTCAGAGAGATTATCCTCCCTCAAAAGTGTTTTCATGTCAGGAGCAGAATCTTAGACTGAAAGAGACCGTGGACATGATTTGCTTCTAAGCCCCACTCATTGCAGAAATCTTCCAAAACATTTCTGCAGGTCATCACCTAGCTTCTGCTTAAATACTCCCATGATAAGGGACTGATCTTTCAAAGACAACTGATTATTATAGAAATAAACCACTAGAAATATGGAGGAAAATAACTTATGTTCTCCCCGTAGGAGATTAATCAAACTGATTGATAAGAAATGGGAAGGACTGGGTTTTGAGATCTGGGTTATGAAGATGTATGAAAAAAATATAAAGAACTATTTTGGATGTGTTTGAAACATTTAATGTCGAGCGAATTGTAAAATCGGAATTGAATTATATAATTTAGAGACTGTAACAGACTTAGCGAATAATCTGACAAGTTCTTAGCTCCCTTCTCTCAAACTACAGAGTAATTATTATGGTTCATTGCAAATTGATACTCTGGAATACTCACTTCTAATATTATAAAATATTTTCCTTGGGGTCTCCTGGGGCCTCCCCTCTTTTGTTATCCTATAATAAATTTCTTACTCTTTATCATTGAGTCCATTATTTATATTGTATAATGTTTGTCAACACCAGTGTTCTCTGAGTTTATTAAGGACAAGGGACTGTGTCTTGCTTATCTTAGCTTCATTGGTGTCTAGTAAAGAGCCTGGAACATAGTAGGGCTCAATAAATTTGTTAAATGAATGATCTATACTCTTTAATCAAGATCTCCAAGTAGTGTAATAAATAGTTGTTTGCTTTAAACTGTCTTGAATAATTCTTTTTTCATTAGTTCCATTCACTATTTAATACTCAGGTAAATACAGTTTGAACATTAAGTACTCACTTTGTTTGCCATGTTTTTTATTGGTTAGTCTGGATGTTTTCTGTATATGGAGCAGGATTTTCTGTGATACTAATAACTCTGGCACTGAACTGGGGTGCTAGAAAATTTCCACCAGAGTTCCAGAATGACTTTTTAAGTACTGAAAGGATTTATGAATCATCACCTCTCCCATAAATATTCAAAATTGCTTTCATGGATTTAGTTAGCTACCAGGACAATGGAACCTGATACAATGGAATTACAGTAAAAAAAAAAAAAAGAAGCTCTTAAATAGGTGTTCTTCTGGTGTTCAGATATGTCTTCATAAAAATATGCCACTTGCTAAATAATTTATTTTCAATAAGTAATTGAATTTGCTCTATTTTCTGCTAAATAAGTACTTTCTTTTATTTGGCTTTCAGCATATAGGAATAAACAAAAACTTTATGATTATGCGAGGGCATGTGCACACACACACCCCCGCCATGAGGCTTACTCTAAATCACTAGTTTAATGTTGTCCTCCCAGGGTGCAGCAAGGGAGGGTCAAGTTGGATGCTTGCCTCAAGTTGTAGAGCTTGATTATAAGGCGGCAGAAAGTGCCAAGCCTTTAGAGTCTAGCTTGCAGTTCTCTTGTTAGAGAGCCAATTAAATAAATTATTTTGGATTATCCTTCATAAATCATAACTTTTGTAAATACTTAGGGAAGTGATTTTAAAAGAGTTTATTTGAAATAAGGTACACCAACAATTTGTATATTTCACCAAGTGTTGATTAAATTTTCAATTTCTTTTACTTAAAAGTAAATGACTTTAATGTAGGTCTTGTCACAGTTGTACATGAGGAAATACAAGTAGTTTTCATCACAATGCATATAGTTCTGATGCCCAAGTGTTGTGAGTTAGCTTTTAGAAGAGGGAAGCACTGATACATAGATGATAATTCATGACCAAGCTCTAGCTATGCTAAGATCCCATAAAAATTTAATAATACTCATGGTTCAGGCTACATAAATTGCTGTGCCATTAAATTTTAATAATCTTATTTATGTTCTTTGGTAGTGTGTGTGTGTGAGAGAGAGAGAGATTGTGTAAGAGGGAAAGAGAGGGAGAAAGTTCCTTTTCTAAGACATTTTGAAGTTAAGCTATTAAAACTTTCTCTTTGCAGATCAACTCTGCATTTTTTTCCATATGACTTTCAATTCATTATTTGAATTTAGCTGTCAAGGACTCTACTCTCAAAAATAACTGCCAATGGTAAACTTCAGTTCTTAAAATTACTCTTATTTGGTTGTTAAAAAGCACTGTGTAGTCGGAAATTCCCTGGGAAGGTAGTATGGGTATATTTCATCTGTTTCTTTGTAAAGGAAATCTCTTCTTCACATAAGTGAAGGATATTTTTAATAAAAGTCATCAGAAAAATTATTTATAGTTCTTTGGGTTCCAGTTGAGGAGTGAATATATTTGGTTTGATCTTACATGCCTGAAATCCATCTGTTCCTGTGACATGTGTTCCTACAGGATAACTAAGATGACTGTAAGATTGTATCTTTTCTTGCCTCATGCTGTTCTGTCTTAAATGTTATTCTAACACTTCTTCTTTTGTAAGTTTCTACATTTTGCTCACTTATCAGCTTCAGTGAGACCTCCTCAGAGAAGACTCTGACTCTCCAGACTTGTCCAGGTTCTTTCAGTACCACTCTTAAGGTACCTATTTTCTTATTAGCAGCACTTACCCATCTGAAAAAGAACTGTTACCTTGGTAACCAGCTTGCTATGTCTCTCTGGGCACACAGCCACAGTACTATGTAACGTGTATAGTTTTATTGAGAATATCTAAAATCTGTAGTCATAAAGAAAGATCAGCTAGTGTTTGGGAAACTATGTTTACGTAAAAGTATGTTAAAATAGGGTGCTTTCAGTTTCTTTTGCAGTTGAAAAGTGAAGTTTTGAAATGTTAGTAAAGTACCTCTGTGTACAGACTTTTCAAGAGAGATGCGTTTATTGTACTAGATCCCAGTGTGTTTGGTTATCCAGTCACGGTAGGGTGTCACTCGAGTGTAAACTCCTGGCTTATTCGGCAGACCACATTCATACCCCCAGCTCACTATGCCCACGAGGAACCAAATCTGCCGTGAATCTTCTTGAACTAGTGGGCCACCGGAGTCACCCTGAAGAAAACAGAAGGATTAAATGTGAAGACAACTTCAAAGTAGTAAGGAGTTTATTCCTATGGCAGTAGAAGAAGTCACATCCATTATAATAAATAAAAAAGTTAGTCTGGTCTTTGCTGTTGAAATAGTATACCAAGTCATGTGAGAACTACCCAAATCCTCCAAGGACATGGGTTATTCCTTCAGCAAGTAGAAGATGAGAAGCAACTTCCCCAGACTTCCCTTAGCTGCCCAGGTGAGTCATGCCAGGCCTTCCGTTCTTCAAAAAGCTTTCCCTGACATACACCTTTCTTCTCCATTGCCACCCCTTCCAGTGTAGGGCTAGATTAGTTTTCCACTGCCTGTGTTCCCACGTCTGTGTGCGCCTCTTTCACGACTGCTTCATTGTTTTATGCAAGCACAGCTGTGAGCCTGGCTGCACTCCCAGGGGATCACTTCCCCTCCTTGCACCTGAGTATCTCTGCAACATATGCTGCATTTCTGATGTTTGTTCAGTGCCCGCCTTTCCCACTATTCTCAGGGTCCTTCAGGGAAGGCGACATGCCCATTCTGGACACTACCATGTCCTAAGCTTCTGGGCCATGGGAGAGCTAAGGAAATGTGAAGTAAAATGAAATTTTTATGGTCCCACAGTTAAGGAAAGCTATGCAAACAAGAGGCCCTGAGTTGGCCAGGACCTGTCATGCTGCACAGTGAAGCTGCCACTCAGCTGTTCCTGCCTGGGTCACCAAGGTGCTGCAGCCCCTCACCTGTGGCTAAGAAGAGAAACAGCCTGGAATGATGAAAGAAGGCAGAACTGAATGGAAACCTGGCTCTCACATCTTTGATGGAATTCTTCAGAATGAGTGTCCTTGCCTCCTTTCACACATAGGTAGCCCCAGAATTGCACAGTCAGTTGTTGTAAGACACAGACCAAATGTATCCTTGACATACTGCTCTAATGTTGATTAATGTATCCTGTTTTAAGATGGTATATAAACTGTTCTTAGACAAAAGGCCAGGGGAACAGTTTGATCAGAACTCTGTCTCTGATCAACTGTCATCTGGGTCACAGCCCTCGGGAAGACTATGAAAAACTCAACCTTTTCTAATACAGTGACTGTATGGATTCGGTTAATGGAAGTATTTGTTGAATGAGGGAGTTTTAGAAATCTCAGTATCTTCCTAGCACCCTGCATGGTATCTGATACTTAGAATGTCATCAGAAAGTATTCTTTTGTGAATGATTGAAAAGAAATTTATATGGCAATGAGTAAGACACTCCTTAAGAATACTTACCAGCCAATTCTAATAATAAACCAACCAGCAAATATTTGTGCATGTAACAATCTGGTTGGGGAGATATGTGCTGAATGATTGGTTAAGTCTGTGAGTCAGCTATTATAACCAAGTTTGCTTCTAGAATAATTTGCTATTCATTTTACTGCTTTTAGTAGCCAGTTCTCCCATAGATACTTAATTACTGGTTTAGATGGGGTGAAAGGTCAGTGTGTGAATCACCAACTTGCATGGCAAATCCTGCATAGAGCTTATGGCACCTATCTGCTTTTGATTATGCATAAAGGTCTGGTTAACAAGTTCTCAGAGCTTTTTCATCATTGCATTTTGCTGCTATTTCTTCTATAGTAAAAAGTCTCTGTGTATAATGTCTTACTAAGAGTGGGCAAGCAAATGTTAAACTAAAAGGGACTTGTAATTTTTCCTGTATCTGACTAGCTCCACTGCCTGATTGCATAGACATCTGATCTTGTAGTCTTCCTTCTAGTCCAGGGTACACACTGTCATGCAGGCACAATGTCTGGTGCATATAAAGTAATTAATACATTTCCTTTGAGTGAATGAACAGAAACAAATAGAGTCTCGTAAGCTCTTATGTCAGGTGCTATTTATTTTTGAGGCACAAACTCTATTCATTACAGTATTTCAGCTAAAAATCAGTGAGGTTTGGAGTGAAACATACAGGGAAACTTTCATGATGAGTTGGGCTTGGGGTAAGAGCAGAATTTGTATATGCAGGAGATAAGGGGCATCAGGAGTGCAGCATGAGTAATACCCTTTTACATTTCATTGGTTAATTCTTTGAAAAGTGACTATGAAAGCTGAGAATTTGTTGTTACAGAGGTAGCAATTAAAAGAAACAGGAAGGAGAGTAAGAAGTGTTCCCTACCACAAAGACATTTCCACTGAACATTGGGCTTAAGGGCCAGTGGTTCATTAACAGTATCTTGAAAATTGATAAATAATTCCCCTCCCCCTACACACAACTTGCAGTCAATAAAAATGTTTCATTTTGGGGAAAGTGCTCAGGGACTGGGATCCTCAAAAAATATGTAAGAATACTTATTCACTCTTTTAAGAATGTGAGTACCAAATTTAAGTCAGTAACATTTGAGGAAAGAATTAACCTTATTTTTCTGCATACACTTCACCCAGAAAAACAGCAGCAGATTTCTCAATAAAACAGAATGATTTCTCTTAATTCTAGAAATGTAATTTTTGATACTAAGTAGTTGTTGCTGTTAACTATATGGGGTTGGTTTTCAGACTTGAAGTTTATTAAAAGATATAACCACATCAATTGTTAGATAATTAGAATTTTAAGTATTAAAACCTTATTCTAATTACTTTAAAGTAATAATTTTCTTGTTTATTGTTTGTATTTTTATATTTGTTCAAAGTTACTGGCTAGATCTAGGTAGTATTTTTTTTCTCATTTATGGTGTTTTACAATTATAGGAGGCGTTGTGACTCAAATAACTAAGTTTTTTGTATAAATTTTCTATCTACAAGGTGCTGATATCCAGATGTTATTTTAATGTCTATTGTCTATGACTCTTAGATGAGTGAACAATTTATCCTACTTCACAGTAGTTGAAAGGGTGAGATTAAAGTTACCTACATCAATGATCATGGTCTAGTTTAACAACAGTGAAAAGAGCTAAGATTTCTTGGTGTCTCAGTACATGCCTGACATTTAATTCCCATATACTCTTTAGTAGTACCTAAAAATTTAGATACTATTATTATTTATCCCCATTTTATAGTAAAAGAATTGGTTGCAGAGGTTCAGGAATTCAAACTCAGGTCTCTTTGGTTCTCTGCAATTTGGCTTCTCAGGGTTACTGTTTCATGATGCATAAACATACAAGAATTAATTTCTAAAATCTAGATCAAAAATTTTTAGAGGATCAGAGCTTTATATTATAATTGTTACCTCTATGCCTATTACGGTATCACATGCTAGTATGTGCTTATAAACTTGGATGATGACATTGATAGCATTGTTGTGAACTTACCTGGCATGCATCTACTCCACCTTGAGGTTCTCCAGCACATATCATTCCAGGCAAGACTGCTCCATTATAACTATCAGGTGCATTACATGCACTGTTACTTATTATTTCCACCCGTGCTTGCTGTAGATCTGTTACTGTGTTGCCTGTTGAGTATAAAAACAGAAAGAAAATGGACTTAAGGATATATAAATTAATGAACCTAGGTGAATATAGGAAGGAATAAATGTACTCCAAACATTATTTCTTATTCAGCAAAGAAGGCTATTGAAGATGCATTCAGAAGTTTCTCCTCAGCAGGTTCCCGTAATGGAGAAGAATAACCCCTTCACACAGATCTGTTTTTCTTTTTTCTGCTTTAGCTTTGTGGTACACTGTCCCTTAGATCTTAAGAGAAAAATAAATAAATCTACTATCTTAAAATTGACTAGTGGCATTTAAGTTATCTATTGGCTGACTGTGACTTGACAAATTACAGGTTGAGTAAGCTTTAATCTAGCAACAAAAGAGAAAGCAGTCCTGTTTCAAGGCTGAAGAATTAATTTCTTTTATACTGAAGTTCCTTCAAAATGGCACTGCCACTTTTGTGACTGTCACAATTTTATCTGCCACACCAAATTACTTTGGGCCAAGAGAACTATATGAAATATTTTCTAGGACAATTAAGCCTTTGTATTGTTTCTTGAACAGATGATCTAGAACATGGGTAGAAACCTGTGGAAATTGTGAATACTATCCTTCTACTCCCTGGATGATACTTATTTTCCCCACGGTCCTATTTGCTCTTGACCACTGCCCTTATTTTTATTTCCATTTTATTCATTAAATGAGCAAGTATGAGCAATGCTTATGTACACGGGAGATTCTTGCTCTTGAGGAAGGATTTAGTTCATCCCAAAGTATCTTGATGGCTTCTAATACCTTAAAGGGTATTAAAACCGTTAGAGAATACCTGTTCAAATCTACTTTTAAAAACCTTTATTTTCTTTATAGAGAAATCATTTGAATCCTATAGAGTCTCTGAATCACTGAAGAACTTATTTCTTCATTACTTTTGTTTATTTCCCTATTACTATGTTGGAGAAGTCCCCATAATTTCTAGGGGCCTTGCTTTGCTTTGCTGAAGAGACTCAGAAATAGCTAGAGCTTCGGCTGACCAGAATATATGATGGTTCTGTCCCTAGACAGAACCTTCAGGTGTTTCCTAATTTAAAAAAATTATATGATAGCAACTACCAGAGATTTTGTTGTTATTTTTGTTTTATTTTTCCTGAAACACTTACCGCCATAGCTTTGAGATCCCCATCCTGTTATGTAAGCAGTGGAACCAGGTAGAATATTCTGGGTAGCCTCTGGGAGACATACCCTACGGATATTTTTGGTAAAGGTGACAGGTCTGTCAAGTTGTACAAGTGCAATATCATTTTCATGAGTTGCAGGTTTATAATCATTATGGATTATAATATTCCTTATTCCTCTTCTCTGTATAGGAGATCTTGTGGAAATACCAAATGTGACAGCCCATTGACGAGGATCAGAATTGCTAAAAACAAATAAACAAACAAACATGAAAACATGCTATTTGAATAGAGAATTTATGAGCATTTAAAATACTTGGCTTTTGTGTTTGTCACCTCCTTCTACCATCTAGGAACTATTCGATCATTATCTCTTTGCTGTATCTTCTTTATTACATAGCTAGTAAATGAGTGTAACTCTTTCCTGGAAGTGTGAGTATCATTTGTTTAAAGAAACAGAAAAACTTTAGAAAACCTATTGGGGTGATGAACATCTTGGTGCTTTTCCATCCCAGTGAGGATATTCTGATTCTCTAATGACTAGCATAACACAAATCTCCTCTTTGATTTCTCCCTTTTCTATATCCTCTCATCCAGGTAACTGTTAAGTCTGAAATAATGCCCATGATAATTTTAACTTATTCTTTCCAATCTTTACTTTTGCCCTTTCCTTGACTTTAGCCAGAAGCTCCATTTAAATAGCAGTGATGATAAGGGGTTCCTTGTCTTATCAATGGATGAATGATTTTTCTGTCCTAAGTGTGATGCCTGTTGAAGATTTTGGTGCCTGTGTGTGTGTGTGTGTGCGTGCACATGCCTGTATATGTAGAGAACACGCTAACATTAAAAAAAGTGCAAGCCTTATCTTTGTGACCTAGGAACTGAGATTTTTTAGACAAATCCTGAAGACACAAACCATAAAGTTAAAACTAGATGAATTTCATTAAATCAAAATCAAGTATTCCACACGTTTACCAGATGGATGAGCAACTATGAGAAAATAATTGCAATGTCTAATATCTAAAATTATTGTAAGGTATACAAAAAATTCTGTAAACCAACAACAAATGGAAAGAAAAACCATTATAAAATGGACAAAGAATATTAGTAGGCAACTCATGGAGGGAAGCCCAAACAGCTAGTACATATGTGAAAAGCTACTCTCACTATAAGCTGTGGGAAATGGAAATCAGAACAGCATTCTAGCATACTTAGAAGACTACACATATATTTTTGGGTACATATTTAATAGAAATTCAAGATGTGTGTGTGTTTGGCATTTGGAAGTTGGAGCAATGTAATTGGATGAAGGAATATGGTGGATGCCATGGTGGACCAGAATGAAATTCTAGGATTGAGCAAAAACAGTAAGAAACAATATGATACTTATACACAATGCTATTTATACAAATTGCAGGCATGTACAGACCTATGTTTTGCAGATAATTATATATTTAAATAAGTGTGTCAAATATGTTAGCCTAAGGGGGCAAAGAGGGCAGTGCAAAAGCAATCCAAGTAGGCAAGAGTCAAAAATAAAATATAAGAAAGGTAGACTGGTAAAAATAATGATCTTTAAATTGGAGGGTTGATTAACTCAACATTGCTCTGAAAGTTGAATTAAAATAAAAATGTAACCAAATAACAATTGAAGACTTTTGTGGAGTTTAGATAGTGAAGTTGACACAGAATATAAAAAATTAAATGTCTAGGAAATACTTTTATAAGGTATAGCAGCTTGTCTAAGAATGAATGCTAGTTAAAAATTCTAAAGAAATAGTTAACAACTAGCAAATACGTGATTTTGTTTTTTACTGAAATTTGCTCAGGGTCTTTTCAGAGAAGATTCTAAACACACTCTTCTTTTTTTCTTCTTTCTTTCTCTCCCTCCCTTTCCTTTCTTCCAGCAAAATGAACGAGAGTGTGGTTTTGGAACCAGAGACATTTAGATTTAAATTTTGGCTATGCCACATATAAGCAGTGTTATTTAGGGTAAGTTAACAAATTACCTCAATTTCTCAGTTTATTTTTGCATAAATGTGACTGATGATACCCTTTCACACAGTTGTATTAATTAAGATAAGTATGGCAAGCACAGTGCTTGGCACAATGTAGGCACTCAATGAAGGTAACTACTATTTTCATTAGATATAATTCAAAAAGCTATTACTAAGTGTTTACTTCATAGAAGGAATAATATGAGTCTCAGGGAATAAAAATACAAGCTCTGGTCTGTGTTTCAGAAGCTCTACGCACTAATGGAGGAGACTGACAGAGACAAATTATCATAAATCACGGGACTACTGCTAGTGATAGATAAGCACATTTCTGTGGGACTAACTTGGAGGAGGAAAGGGAACATTAGGGAAAGTTTCACAGAGGAGGTACCAGTACCAGAGGCCTCACTATGAGGGCCTCATTACTTCTGTGGACCTTGATGTAAGACCGGTCATGCTCCAAACAAGTCCTCTCTGTTGGTCTCTCAGTGACAACCAGGTCTATGGGGAGGGTGCCAAGACAAGGTTTCCATAGTTTGTTGGCTCTACTGGGTCAGTCGTGGTAGTGAGTAGGATTGGAGGAAGCAAAATTTAAAGATGTCCTGAGCCTTTAAAATCATGGATTCTCATCATAATCATTGGTTATGTTTATCACTCTGGTTTTCATTATAATGACATCTTCAATTTAGCTTTTGGTGGTTGGGTCTGCATAGGGCTTAGAACCCAGTACTGTTTGTATGGCTTCCTAGATGATGTTAAAATGCCTGCTAAATCTAGGGATGTGTATTTCTGGTTCCCATACTCAGGGATGACTGAAATCAGTGCCATTCCTGTTTTTTGTTCTTCCAGCTGGCAATGAAGACTGAAATGATTTTGAGACTTTTCATTGCTTGTATTATCTGGGACACAGCAATAAATGTATCAGTCCTAAAAATTTTTGGTAACTCTGAGAGTATCTTATAGAACAAGTTTGAAATTCATTCACTGTGCAAAAAATATTGAGTTGTAAGGAAAATTTAATTTTGGATTTCAGAAAACTTTTGTTGAGAAACTGCCCTTGTTTTATTAAATTTTGCTTACTCTTAATTTAACAAACACTTTTGTAACAAGGCAGTGTATTATGTGGCATTATCCTCAAATCTGTAAAGGACTTCTCAGAAATAGTGATGACTTTACAAAATTCCAATAGGAAAAAATGGAGAGTTGGAAGGGATATTAACATTTGAGGGAGAATAAGCAGGCTGAGCAAGTGCTCTTAAATGGGAAAATATAAGAATAGTCCAAGGGAGGAGAATAATGCAATCTGGCTGGACCTCAAGGTTCATGCTTTGATTGATCTGATTGGAAGGCTTTGGGCATATGGCAAATTGGATTTTAGACAGTGGTTATTGAAAAAGTCTGAAAAAGGAATAGATGCTGTCAACAACACACTTGATTTCAGATCACAATTGCTTTTATGAGTTAATTTTTTGAGTATTCCTAACAACTGTTGGGGTCTGGGATGTTCCAGTAATAAAGTATGTAGTTCAAGTCTTAATCATGCTGAGGTCTACAGTTCTCCTTTAAAGTAAGAGGACCTTTTCTTTATACCAATAGGATAAGTTCATGCATCCTACTCTCCACTGGCAAGTTTGTTACCCTAATATTAGCAATAGCCTTTAGTCACATCAGTGAAGAATTCTCTGTAAGTTGTTTAAATTCATTTTATTTATACTACTTGCTGTAATTGATCACTATTTTTGTACATGTTTACCTCCAGCAAGTAGAATATAGGTTTGCTTAAAGTCGGAGCAGTGGTTGTTTAATTAGCTTATAATAGATAACATTGTGCTCATAGTAGACACTCAGTGATTTTTTTGAAAGAACAAATTAAAAGAAGTCTCAGATTATTAATAAGTTAATGAAGCAGTCTCAGATCAGCCATCAGCCTTCTGATCAGCCTGTGTGATACAATGTGCAGACTTCCTGCAGCAATTCATTTTGCTAACATTTAACATTTATTTACATTAGTGTATTTAATCCTATGAATAACACTAAAACATAGATAATAGTATGTCCCCCAATTGCCCATAATTTGAAAAACAAAGAGGTTTATGGTGATTAGAGAGTTTCCTAAGCTTTCATAGCTAGGATTTAAATTAAACATTCTGACATATAAATGTTGTTTGTCATAATGATATATTATTATCTGAAACAGAAAAATAGGATAAATTAGCAAGCTGAAGGAGAAAAAAATATTTTTGCTGTTATGAATAGGAAGAAAAGACTCCATTTTTTTTGCATTATTTCTGACACAATACAATCACCTTTAGTCCTGGGGCAATGGATGTGTTCTCATACATGCATATATCTCTCCTAGTTGTTCCCAGATGGGTCAGGAGCTTTAGCCTCACCTTCTGAAGCAGTGGGCTGCTGTCAGGATCCACGTGTTACTGATCAGGACGCCTCCGCAGTGGTGAATGTTATTCAACTGCAGACTGACTTGCCACGGCCAGTCTCCTTCCTCAGCCCTAGTGCCTCCTATGATTCTCTCAGACAGTGTTATTAGGTCCGGACGGGCCCCACATTCTAATGAGAGAAGGGTATTAATGTGCTGGGAACATCATGATTCATTTGCATTTCGGAGATGCTGCAAGAGTCTCTCCATCATTTATAACTTTTCTGTCTTTTATGTATTCTTCCACAGGACATACTAGCTTTCCCCAAAGCATGAACAATATGTTATATTCTTAGAGTTCTTATGTGACTATTCTTGCCTATAGACTGCATCTCAGAGAACATTTCTGAACTTAACTGGCATGGAGGCTTCAAATTCTGGAGCAGAGTTCTCTGGAATTCCTCCTAAGTGGGGCTTCAGATAGGTCAGTACTGAATGTATCCAGCTCAGGTTCCAAGTTGACTATGAAATTTCTGTCTTCTCAATAGCCTTGCTACTCAAAGAGTGGTCTGTGGACCTGCATTATGGTCACCCCTGAAAGTTTAGAAGTGTTGATACTGGGTGGAAACAACCTAAGTGTCTGCCAGTGGCTAAATGGACCAAGAAAATAATTGTGTCTGTGTGTGTACATACACACATACACACACACAGTGGAATAATGGAGTATTATTCAGCCTTAAAAAAAGAAATCCTGTTATTTGCAGCAATGTGGATGAACCTGGACGGTATCATGCTAAGTTAAATAAGCCAGACAAAGACAAATACTTCTCGTATCATTTATATGTGGAATCTAAAAAAAAAAAAGTAAAACTCATAGAATCAGAGTAAAAAGAAGTTGCCAGGGACTAGGTGTTGGGAGAAAGAGGAAAGGTTGGTAAAAGTTTACAAAGTATAAAGCTATAAAGTAGGCAGATTCTGAGGATCTAATGTATGATATGGTGACTAAAGTTAATATTGCTGAGTTGTATAGTTGAAATTTGCTAACAGATTAGAACTTAAATGTTCTCACCAAAAAAAAAGGTGATGGTGGTGGTGGTAAATATGTGAGGTAATGATATGTTAATTAACTAGATGGTGGAAATCTTTTCCCAATGTGTATCAAACTGTGGCATTGCACACCTTAAATAGCTTACAATTTTATTTGTCAATTATATCTCAATGCTGAAAAAAAGAGAAATAATGACTCTCAGATCCACACTAAGGAACAAATCAGAAGCTGTATTCTGTCCCCCTAACTAAATTGAAAGATATAATTTTACACATTTAAAGTGTACAAGTGATGATAAAGTGTACAACAATGTGTATGTCAAATGGTTACCAAGATCAAGATTATTAACACCTTCATCACTTCACATAGGTAGCCCTCTTTTTGTATATATGTGGTGAGAATGTTTAAGAGCTACTCTCAGCAACTTTCAAGTATACAATGCTGAAGTAACTAGTCACCATGCTATACATTAGATCCTCAGAACTTATTAGAAGCTACAGTTTAATGAGTGATGCATGTGTACATTGAAGTTGGAGAAAACTGCTCTAGTCAAGAAGATTCTGTGGTGGCTATGAAGTTCATCACAGAGGTTCCAGTCCACTATCCATAATTTACTCTATGTTACTAAATGTGCCCTTCAAAGGGAGTTACTTTAGGTCCACATAATATTCTAGAAGGTGACTGAAGGTTTCTAAATATAAAAATGAGGTTTATTCTAGCATTTTGAGAGAGCCCATGAGCACTCCAATGACCAGAGCTGCAACAGGTTGGAGTAGATTGATCTTTCAGCTCCTATTCCTATGACTTACTCTTTTTGCTTAGTCTGTTACCAAGAAATTAGCAGTAAATCACCACCAACAATCACTATTGCTGGACCAGCTCTAAAGTAGTGATGCTGCTTCAATAGAACAACCATCCAAAGGCATTTTTTGTAATGAACTTCGTAGATAAAGGAGGCCCAGACTCCATCAAGAATATACATGGAACATAGGGTCCTTTGTCGCATTGTGCAACCCAGTTCTCTGGTAATTGAAATGCACATTTAAATGAGGAATGAATTACTTGGGTATATACACATGTCAAAATTCATCAAGTTATACACTAAAATTTGTGCATTTTATTGTGTGTACCTCAACATAAATTTAAAAATTAAAAAAATTAAAAGTGAATGAAACATGAATTAAGTATATAATGGAGTTGAAAAACAACCATAGAGGCAGCATTACTTTATAACATCACTTAAGCTATCTGAGCTGGGCCAGCTATTGAAGTACACTGAACAAATTTCCAACTACATTTTATCAGAGAAGTAAACTGCCATTTTCTAGGTTTCTACTTCTATTTTAGCCTGAGAATGTAAAGAATGACATTGGAAAGTAGTGACTTTTTCTTCAAGTTACAGACAGAACTGACATTACTTCCTTTAATTTTTTTATTATGCTCTTTGAGTAACCTAAGTCCACAAGAAAGCAAGCTATTCTGGTGGTTAGGAGAAGCCATATAAAATGTATCACCAAACATAATTTACAAATCTACAGAAATGCCACAATAGAACGAGGGCAGGAAAAGTTTCTCAAACCTGCCAGGAAAATTTTCATGAGGCCAAACTTAATACAGAGTAGGTGGAATACCACTGCTACTTCCTCTTCCTTCTAGAAGGAGGGGAAAACCTAAATAACCCTTCATGGGCCGATGGAGTCAGCAATGTCTTATTTCAACAACAACCCACGTGAGTTAGCTAGGAATAAAGATATCACCTCAATAGACACTTCCTTGGAAAAGAGCTCAAATGATTTGAACATTTACCATTTATTTTGGGTAAACCACATTTACAAAATAATTTTGACACTTACCTTTAGTGAAAAAATCTATTGTATCCTGGCTAGTAATTGCTGGTGTTAAAAAAAAAAAAGAGTGAGATAAAGATCAGTACAATAGGATCTGTATCATTTCACCTTAATTTCTTAAAAAGTAGTCCTCAAACACAATCAGAATCACTTAGAGGGTTACTAAAATACAGATTTCTGGGCTCCATCTTGGATCTGCTAAAAGAATCTGAGTCATAAGCCCCAGGAATCTGTGTTTACAATCTTCCCCCAGTTTATTGTTTGCACACTAAAATTTTTACTTAAATTCTCCATCAAACACTTAAAAGATACTCAAGAGATATTTAAGAGGTATTACTGCTCTCAAGTCACTCAGTTTAGTTGGGAAAACAGAAACGTAAGCAAATCATTAAGATGTGATGTGCTAGATGCTTTAAGGGAAGCTAAATTTTCACTTATTCAAATATATATGAGGGTATATATAGAAATATCTACATTACTTTCCTGATACTAGTCTAGTACTGCAGTTATAACAGTGAGCAAAGTATAGGGCATCAGCCCTCACATAATTTATAGATAGAAATTAATCAATGACTCTTTCAAATAAATTTAATTGCTAAGTAGAGAGGAGCAAGGAGAGTAACCAGTGCCATCTGAGGGATTCACAGAAGTTATGGTGGGAATAACAGGTGAGCTGGATTTTGAAGACCTAACAAGAATTTTTCAGGCAGGCAGGAGAGAAAAGGATTCCAGGTGGAAGGTATATGGGCACGAATGCATAGAGGTGTGAGATATTTGTGGAGCAATGAGTCAGGAGAGCTAGTTCAGGTGCTGCATGCAGGGAAATGCTGGGAGAGCACAGAAAAGAAAATATGTTGCAATCAGATATGAAGGTCTGTCTTTTCCAGTTAAGGGCCAGTGTACTGTTTTCTCTGCATGTTCTATAGCTATCTCAAATTCAGTGTGACCAAATTTTACCCCGAATTTGCTCCTTATGTTATATTTCCTTCTTCCCTAAATGGTACCCCTTCTGTTAGCAGCTAGAAATCTGAAATGGTCTCCAGCTCCTCCTCACTTGTCATTTCCACATCTTACTGGTTTCCAGATTTTGTACCTTCTAGTCTCTATCCTTTGATTTAGCCCCATTCTCCACACTGTTTTGGCTACTAGTTAATGCTTTCATCATTCGACATGTTTCCTATTAAATGACTTTCAAACTGGGGTCCCGCTTCCACTTTTGAACTTTCCATGTATCTACCTCTCCTTTGCCAGTCTGATTTTTCTGGATATGTATGTTAGATCACATATCCTTCCCTGCTGGAAATTTTTAATGAGAATTTAGTTTTCTTATTTCCTATAAGATAAACTTAAACTTCTCAGACAGGTTTTCATGTACTCTAAAATCAATTTATGCAAACTTATTTGCTATCAGAAGCTTCACAGGGGTCTGTATTACATCTGCTTTGTAAAGGTTAGAGGAGCTGAAACAGCCTTTTGGAGGCAGGAAGTAAAAAGAGCTGACTATTCCTTTTCATTCTTTGAATAAAGAGGACTTGAGTTCGAATCCTGACGCCCCTGCCTAATGACTGACTGACTTGGGCACTTACCTATCTTTTCTGAGTGGGGCTAATAAAAGTATCTCTAAGATATGGTTGTTTTGAGGATTAAACAAATTGTAATGCATGAGCATCAGTCAGTAAGCAAGGCCATGGTCAGAAAGGATGCAGCCATCCCTGGAGCTGAGCAATGTCTTGGAGGTCCTTGCTGTGCTAAGCAGTAACTCTTTAGTTGCAGGAGGAGGAGCCAGGAGTCCAGGGTAGAGATGGGAGGACTTGGAGGGGGTAGGGAGAGAACTTTTTGAGCCTGATGCAATGGTTGTTTATAACAGATAGGAAAGCACTTCAGTATTTTAATAACTAGTACAGCTGTAACAAGTATATACCGATTAAAATCAGTCCAGTGTGGGAGCCACCAAAATCCTTTAATCTTTCACTTATTATGAGACAATCATGGCTTATCAAGTTAGCAGTGTAAAATAAAGTTGGAGGAGTGTCCTTAAATAAGATATTTAAAAGTAATTATTAAAAGTAATTCTTTTAGTCATAAAACAAATATTAATGGACTATTATATGGCAGACACTGGGCAGTAGAAGGACAGTAGGATGGACAAGGCAGACTGGTTCTTAGGTTTAGGAAGCTTACAGAATAGGATGAAGACAAATAGTACAAAAATCATACAAATAGCTTTGTAGTTTCAGTGTGATAACGGTTATGAAGGAAAATAAAGGAGTCTGATACACTGGTAAATAGGTGAGTAAGGGATGTTAAAAAAGGCTTACATTAGAAAGCAGTAATCCAGATGATATTTGATGGATGTGAGGGGGTGATCTAGAGTGTTATAAGAAGTTGGAACAAAGGACCTGAAGCAGGGAGGAGAGGAACTTGGATGGAGAAAATAAAAGTGTGGCTAGAGTATGGTGAACAGGGAAGAGAGGGGTATAATAAGTGGCCAGAGGGTTAAGTATGAACCAGGTCATGCAGTGCTCTGGATGAGATGGTTATATCATCTATCATCCAAACCAGGACACATACGAAGCAATATTATTAATGGGCAATTGGCTCGAACTGGGACAATCTGAGGCAAACCAGGAAATATGGTGTCTAACTTGCAACTGGTATTTTGTTTTTGTTTTTGTTTTTGTAGGAAGCTGTGGGAGACTTTCAAGCAAGATTATATCCGTGTTTTTCTTGATTAATTTGTGGGCAACAGTTTGGAAGGTGCCAAGAAAGTATAAAAAGATAATAGTGTGGAGGCTAGTAAAGTAGTTCAAGTAAGATATGACACTGGCTTGGACCAGAGTGGTAACCACAGGGATGGAAAGAAATGGAAATAGATATAAGTTAGGCAGAGGTAGAAAGGATTTCCAGAGAGAAGATAGAGATACTGCTAAATCTTATAACTTCCTTCTTTTTTCTACCAGAATAAAATATTTACTAGATACCTTCCAAATTTTTTTGAGTGAGGTGGATTATTAATTAAATTGTCCTCTAAACTTGAGGAGCAATTGATCATTCTTATAGCATACCTACAAATTGAACAGCTGACAAAACATCCCTCATAAGGAGTGTTGAGGGAGAAAATTAATTTTTAGCAAAAGATATTTACTGTATGAATGTTAAAAGATTCTTTGAACTTCAGAATGTTTTATCTTAGAGAACTATATATTATATCCAGTTTGTAATACATTGTTTTCATAAAGTTTAATTCAAAGGAAAGAAAACCAGTCTCTCATTAAATTAAAATATGAATTATAGCTCATTTAGTCAAGGGATATATTGAAATGAAATTGTATATAAAAAATGGTACTTGCGCATTATTTCAGTAGGAGGGCTCATTTCCAAGTTTCCAGAGTTACTCAACATTTGGCGTAAAACAGACTCAATTCTGCTTTTCATTGATGCTCCATTGTTATTTCTAGTGAATTTAAATTTCATGACAACATCTGCTATCACACCACTACTACCTTGCCTGGAAACCATTAAGATTTAAAAGAAATAGATAATTATGATAATTTTAGACTGTTCTATTTTTGTACTCTTCTTGACTAAACATTAAAAAAATTCAACTTCAGGAATTTAATTATAGAACAGACTCATAACAGCGTTTGCATATGTAATGATATATCACAATGCTATTCTACAAGTATTTGGTTTTAATGCATACTACACTTCTACCCACCATTCAGTATAGTGGACTTTGAAGTCAGAATGCCAGAGTTTGAATACTAGCTCTGCCATTTTTACAGCATATCCATAACTTTTGATACATTATTTTTTTCTGAATCTTTCTGTATCTAAGTCTCTTCACATTAAAATGAGATGTTATGAAGACTATATGAGTAAATATATGGAAAACTTTTGGGAAGAGTACATAGCATGCAATAAGTTCACTTTAAGCATTGGCTATTATTAGATTTCACAAATTAACAACAACAAAAAACCCTCATCTCATTAAGCAAACTTATAAAGAGCTGAGGCTCTAAATTTATGTGACTTAGAGGCTCAAGTTAATTTTCTGGAGCTTATACCCTGTTCAAAAGCAAATTTTAACTTTTGTAATCATATGTTAAGACTTTTATCTCCATTTCAGTTAACCACAGACATTCCTCACAATGAACTTTGACAATTTGGCTACAGGCTATAATTATCTAAAACTGAGATAACTTCCACTTCCTTCCTTGTAAATTACTTCACCCAGCTAGCATTGGCTGTCTTCTTTTCTGAAAATGTGCATTAGGCAAACTTTGTTTAGATGCTCTAATATTTACTGTAGGCCTCCTCATTTTATCTCAATGGTCAGTTTTGCCATAATGTTCATTCCAGATATTAATATTTACTGAGCAGATATTAACTTAGCATCTTCCTGTGCTAGGCACTACTTTCAGTTTTACAAATGAACTGCGGCCAAGATTTGCAGTTGTCATTCTCATGGATTTTCCAGTGTAGATGGAGAAACAGACACCGAAAAAATAATTATAACTTCCATGTCTAGCAACATGAAGGCCTAAATGATTACAAAACATATAAAACAACCAGACATACTAAATTATTATAAACTTCATTTGAAGTGGAAAGCTGAGCTCACATGAAAGTAAGAAAAATCTTGGAAGACCAGAAATAAAAAATGTTAATATTCTGTGGTAAGCACTAGCACATCCAACAGGTTTGAATTTTAGCATTTACACCGGCATTGGAGGTGAGGCCTTGGGCTAGTGCAAAATCAGGAAAAGGACACGAGGTTTCAGAATAAGCCAGGATGCTCAAAGAACTAAATCCTCAGAGAAAGCATGGACTAGAAAGAAAAAAATCTGCTTATCATCTTGTAGGAGAAAAAAAAGTTTGTCTCAGGGGCCCAAGTCTGTGCAGAAAAGAGAAGATTCTCCTGAGAATGGATAATCGTGAGCCTTGCTGCAGGGAAGTTTTGGATCTGCATTTACTATCTGCATGGTCCCAGAAACTTTAACTTGAGAAATTAACCAAAAAATGGTCCATGTGCCATGGATCCTCCAAGCGTCTGATAGAAGCAAATGCTCTGGAGGTATGTTAAATCCAGGATGCATAGGATACCACTTATAAAGTGGGGCTAAAGATACACATACAATCACAGTAGTAAACAATGCATCACGAATGAGAAACAGAAGAGTATCCCCAAAAATTTACATAATAAGATTAACAGATAATCAGGTAAGTATGTTTGAAATGACATGACTTAAATGGGGAAATCATAAATATGTCAAAAGTACATGACATTACCAAACAGATTAGGCAGATTATCAAAAGAAACAAATAGAGCTTGCAGACAGGAAAATATAACATAGTTTCTAACTGAAATTAAAAACTCAGTGGATGAAAAAAAAAAAAATCCGGGGGGTAGGATACACAAAATATAAAACAAAGCTGAAGAGAAATTAGCTACCTGAAAGAGATGAAGAAATCACATGGAATATAGCATAAAGATGAAAAAGGTCAAATAGAGGCCAAGAGACAGGAGAAGGTTCACCAGTTACCTAATGCAAGGCTAGAGAACACAAAAACAAAGGATCAGCAATCTTACAAAGGACACTGTGAATTGATAAAGGCAGGAAACCTCAGATCACAGTGAGTCTGAAGCATACTGATTAAAAGAAAACCCACACCCAAATAAGTTATAAAACTCCGAACTCCAAAAACAAAAGGAGGATTTTCAAACAATAGAGAACAGACTAGCTAGCTACCAAAGAACATTTTGACTGAAGGACAGTTTCTTTAAAGCAGCAATGGAAGGCAGTATATAAAATATACTAATATTTCATCAGTGTAAATTTTACAATGTATAAATATAAAATATTTAATATATAAAAATATAATACTATTTTATTAATAGAGATAAAATAGCTATCAACTTAGAATTTTATATCCACACTAAAGTATTATTCAAGACTGAGGCTAAAGTAAGGACATTGTTTCAGATCAAAGCAAAACAAGGAAGGCATAGTACAGAGACCTTCACAAGAAAGTACTAATGTCAGTGCGCACCAAACTGATAGAAATTCAGTTTGGAAAATACTCTTCCCATGGATTCTTCCTACTTCTCTGACTCCTCAATGAAATTTATCCGACCAAAGATCCTTGCTCCTAGGTACTTACTAGGTGACTTTACAGAGAATAAGAAAGATTAATTGTCTGTGGTGTTAGTATTTGAGAAAAAATTGGTACAATTTCTCTCCTTCCAAAAAACTTTTGCATATTATTTGAAAGATTAATCAATATGGGCATTTGAGGAATTTCAGGTAAGGTCAGTGAGGGTGACTACTTTAGTTGGGAGGGCCTGTCTCATCCCATCATGTGGATAGGTAAGTATTCAGCTAAGCCAGGAATGTCAAATAACTAGCATGCATGCAACTACTCTCCCTGTTATTAATTCATGACAGATATGATCAGATTTGGCCACATCATCCTTTATAGTATGGCATTCCAGGCAGATAAAAACCAAAAAGCCACATTTGATGTTGGTTACAGTGTTCTGATCTTGGATGAATATGCCCAGGGCCACAGCATTTGCACAACTCCAGAGGGCACTGTTTACATAGACTGCAATGTGAGTGGTATCCAATGGATTTGTACATGACGGCCCTGTTTCTATACTTTAATTCAGCTTTCTTTCCTCTCTTCCTTTCCATCAAGAATTATAGTATTATGGTTATTTATATTAATAGGTAAATAGATCATATAACATTTTTTGGCATTGTTTTATAAGATATAGATGATGCTATTTTCATAACACTGTGACAACTTGTGTGAACATTTCATTCATTATCCGTTCTGTGAACAAAAGGCAAATGGGCTAAATTGCATCTAAGCTTATGTATTTTTTGATGTAGTTCCACTCACCTCACTGTGACAACATGAGCTCTGATGAACTGATTTCTTAAATTTGATTCTTTGAATGTTTTAGTAATCTGTAGAAAAAAAGGAAAATTACCTCTCTATAGTTCTTCCTCTCTTTCCTCTTCCCAACCTTGCAACATGGACTTATGTTCATGAGGAATAGAGACTTGAGTTTTCAGTTCAGTTTAATTCAGTATAGTTCGATTTCATCTCAGAACACATGGGAATGATTTAGGCAGGTTATATAGCCTTTTAATGCAGTGCCTATTCATATATTACACAAAGATGATAATGGACAGTGTGTATCTTTGCTAAAAGTCATCTAAACACATCAGATATTTTACTCTGTGAGAATCCACGTTGTGTGATTTGGTGGCTATTCCCAGGGTGTTGGTGTAGGAGCCAAGCCAACACTAGGGGAGTCCACTGATACAACTTACATTGTGTGTTCCCACAATAACTGTTTTTATTTTTATTCTTTTATACTCAGTTTTTATTGAAATGTAGTTTATATGCAATATTATATTGGTTAATCACTGTTTATATACAATATAAAATAGTTTATATGCAATATTATAATTGGTTAATCACTAAGATGAAAACAGTGATCCATCGATTATATACATTATAAATGCTCACCATGGTAAATGTATTTACCATCTGTCACCATACAAAGATATTACAATATTATGAGCTACATTCCCTATGCTGTACTTCCATCTCTGTGGCAAAATTATTTTATAATTTACCTCTGAAGTTTGTACCTCTTTATCCCTTTCATCTATTTCACCAATTAACCCCTCTCCCTAGTACCCAGCCATCCATTCTCTGTTTATGAGTCTATTTCTGTTTTATTTGTTTTGTTCTTCAGAGTCCACATATAGGTGAAACCATATGGTATTCCTCTTTCTCTGAGTGACTTATTTCACTTATAATACCCTCTAGGTCCATTCATGTTGTTACAAATAGCAAGATTCCTTTCCTTTTTATGGCGGAGTAATATTCCATTGTATATATGAACCACATCTTTTTTATCCATTATCTATTAATGGACACTTTAGTTGCTTCCATATCTTGGCTATCATAAATAATGTGGCTATAAACATGAGGGTGCATGTATCTTTTTGAATTAGTTTCATTTTCTTTGCATAGATTCTCAGAAGTAGAATTGCTGGTATCATATAGTATTTCTCTTTTTTGTTTTTTAAGGAACTTCCATACTGCTTTCCATAGGGCTACATCAATTTACGTTCCCACCAACAGTATAGGAGAGTTGCCTTTTCTCCACATCCTTGCCAACACTTGTTATATTTTGTCTTATTGATAGTAGCCATTCTGACTGGTGTGAGGTGCTACTTCAGTGTGTTTTTGGTTTCCATTTCCCTGATGATGAGTGATTTTGAGCATCTTTTCATGTATCTGTTGGCTATCTGCAGGTCTTCTTTGGAAAAATGTTCTATTCAGTAGTTTCTATGCCCAATTTTTGACATCTAAAAAATTGTTTTTAAATGGGTAAAACCAGCTTAAAATAAGTAGCATTGGAAAGCTTGATGTGAAAAATGGAAAAAGAATCAAAGGGTAGTCTTTTCTTTGTTTTTCTGATCAATGCCTAAGCAGCAGAGGTTATTTTTAACATCAGCTGGTAATTTCCTGACCTAACCCTAGTTATCTCCCTGGATCATTGCTTACTTCTAGCAATGGTCTTCTTTGGGTATGAAGTTCAGCCTCACAGTGAACTAAGAGTAGTTCTATAACTGGAACTGTTCCCTAGGATGCAGGTTCAGAAGTACTGAAGTTCATAAGGGAGAGTAGATCCTGCTGCTTGTGCTGTGTGGTTGCGACAAGGTAGAGGTGGATGTGAGAAGATGAAGATGGGGATATTAAGTATTACATTAAGGCAGGATTTGAAAGCAATTCTTGAGACTCTAAAGTTTATGCAATCTTTATTACACCAGTTATATCTTTAAAAATACCCATTCATGTAGGCTGATGTCAAACCAACCAGTTGCTTGAAAAAATGATAATTTTCTTTCCACAGGGACTTTGAACATTTTTGAGAATAATGAGAGCATTGGTTTTATAGAAATAATTCATGTTCATTTTAAAGAATCAAGAAATACCAGTATTAAGAAAAAAGAAAAAAGTCATCCCAAATTTTATGATCTTTGCCATCATTTGGTGAGCAATATTCCAGAAGTATGGTTTAATATATTTATTAATACCATATAGGAGGTATTTTAATAAGATAATTTAACTTTAATATTACTAGACTTTAACAAAAAAAAAGGGAGCTGACCTAAAGCTGAAGTAATTTTTAAAATTTGGATAAATATTTCTGTAATTCTATGTTATGGCTTGATATTGCATCAGCATAGTCTAGACTGGATAAAAATGTTAAAAATCTACTTGAATTATGACATTTGTTATGTGGAAAACATTAGTGAGGACTAAGATAAACCATATAGAGAAATCAAGTTGGTTAATTGGTTGATATCTATATACAAGGATAACAAAAGAGTCTAGTGGATAAAATTCATATTTTACAGAGTGGTTGAAAATACTCTTGGCTCTTCATTAGAATTTATTCAATGTTTGGTAGACAATCAATGAGCAAAGGGTGGCAAAAAGATGGAGTAGCATGGCAAGGAGAAAACCTCTTCCTACATACACGCGGAGGAAACAACCACAGCAAATACAACTGACCCTGCAAACGACCCAAAGAATGCAAACAGAACATTTACAATTGGTGAAGAAAAGAAAACCACATTGTGAAAGGTAGGGTACAGAGCTGTGATCATCTGGGGCCCAAGCCCAGCCCACAAGCAGAAGGAAGAGGAACAGAGAGGGGAGGGGATGAACACTCAAGAAACCTGCACACTTGGCCCTGGAGATCTGCTCTGAGAACATGAGTCTAGATTGCATTGGGATTTGGTGATAAATGGGGTTGGACACCCAGGAGTGTTGGAACACTCTGGAAGGCTGAGACTCTTGACGCTTGAGGAGAACAGGCATACTCCATTGGTCCTGGTAGACCCAACACAAAAGTGTGGCAATTTGAAAGATTTACCAGCAGGGGGAAGTACACCAGAGGAGTAGGGGTTGGAGGGAGCTCTCTTTGGAGGAGAAAAGGATGACACTTCCTCACTAAAACAGATCAGGTGCTTGTGGGAGCCAGATCCAAAATTCTCCATCTCACTTGCTGGTGGCTCAACCCCATGGTTCCTCATGGAATACCCTCCCAGCCCAGTGAGCTTGGCCCAGCAGTGGTCTAACTTTGCTGACTGGCAAGTAGAGGGAATGCTGCACTTTCCTGGCTTTCCCTCAGCTAAACTGGCCATATGCTTATGGGAGCCAGTTGTAAACTCTCCACTTGCCCCACTGGCTTAATCCCAGTGCCTGCAGGTGTACCCACCTGCTCAGCATGTATGGCCAAGCAACAGTCCACCACTGCTGACTGACAGGCAAAGGATGGCCCTGCCCACAATGAATACCTGCAGAAGTGCCTCACATCACACAAAGGGCATACAGAGGCTAGCTGTGGGGATCAGCCATTTCTGGCAGACAAGCATAAAGGCAGGCCCTCAAGTGAGACTCAGCTGCAAAAGAGAACAAGGCACTGGTTAGCAGAGGATCTTGAGCTTCTGGGAAACACAGGATGTCCACCTCAGGAAGCCATTACTATCAAGACCAGGAAGCATAGCTGATCTGGCTAATACAAAGAACAAACACAGAAGCCCAGACGAAATGAGGAGGCAGAGGAATATGTTCCAAACAAAAGAACAAGATAAAACACCAGAAAAGGGGCTAAATGAAATGGAGATTAACAATCTTCATGATAGAGAATTCAAAATAACAGTCATAAAGATGTTCATTGAACTAGGGAAAAGATGATCTCGGTAAGAATTTCAACAAAGATAGAAAATTTATAAAAGAGCCACTTAGAGCTCAAGAGTACAATAACTAATATGAAAAATACAAATAGAGGGATTGAATAGCAGACTTCAGGAAGCTGAGGACAGAGTCAGTATGATGGAAGATAGAGAACTGCAGAGTACTTGGCCCAGCAGTGGTCTAACTTTGCTGACTGGCAAGTAGAGGGAATGCTGCACTTTCCTGGCTTTCCCTCAGCTAAACTGGCCATATGCTTATGGGAGCCAGTTGTAAACTCTCCACTTGCCCCACTGGCTTAATCCCAGTGCCTGCAGGTGTACCCACCTGCTCAGCATGTATGGCCAAGCAACAGTCCACCACTGCTGACTGACAGGCAAAGGATGGCCCTGCCCACAATGAATACCTGCAGAAGTGCCTCACATCACACAAAGGGCATACAGAGGCTAGCTGTGGGGATCAGCCATTTCTGGCAGACAAGCATAAAGGCAGGCCCTCAAGTGAGACTCAGCTGCAAAAGAGAACAAGGCACTGGTTAGCAGAGGATCTTGAGCTTCTGGGAAACACAGGATGTCCACCTCAGGAAGCCATTACTATCAAGACCAGGAAGCATAGCTGATCTGGCTAATACAAAGAACAAACACAGAAGCCCAGACGAAATGAGGAGGCAGAGGAATATGTTCCAAACAAAAGAACAAGATAAAACACCAGAAAAGGGGCTAAATGAAATGGAGATTAACAATCTTCATGATAGAGAATTCAAAATAACAGTCATAAAGATGTTCATTGAACTAGGGAAAAGATGATCTCGGTAAGAATTTCAACAAAGATAGAAAATTTATAAAAGAGCCACTTAGAGCTCAAGAGTACAATAACTAATATGAAAAATACAAATAGAGGGATTGAATAGCAGACTTCAGGAAGCTGAGGACAGAGTCAGTATGATGGAAGATAGAGAACTGCAGAGTAATCAAGCTAAGGAACAGAGAGAGAAAGAATTTCTAACAATGAGAAGATGCTAGGAGAGCTGTGTGACAACTCAAATGAAACAATATTTTCATAATAATGGTACCAGAAGGAGAAGAGAGAGACAAAGGAGTAGAAAGTCGCTTTGAAGAGATAATAGCTGAATACTTCCCCAGTCTGGGGAAGGAAATAGACATCCATGTTCTGGAAGCATAGAGAGTTCCTAACAAGATGAACCCCAGGAAGGCAATACCAAGACATATAGTAATTAAAATGGCAAAGATTAAGGATAGATAATCTTAAAAGCAGCAAGGGAGACAGCTATCTATAATGGAAAATCCATAAGGCTATCAACAGACTTCTCAGCAGAAACTTTACATGCCAGAAGGGAGTGGCATGAAATATTCAAAGAATTGAAAGGAAAGAAACTACAATCAGGAAGCAAGGTTATCATTCACAACTGAAGGAGAAATTAAATAAAAGTTTCCCAGATAAATATAGGGTAAAAGAATTCACAACCACTAAACCAGCCTGACAGGATATGTTAAAGGAACTTATTTAGGACCAAATGGAAATATTCTTAAGTCTATATGTTTTTCATCAGTGTAAATAAACCTACAGTAGAGTTAGTAGACCAATTATTTAATAGGAAGTATGAAGTCCAAAAAACAAAGTAGTAAAATCAGCTATACACAAAATTAGTCAAGGGATACACAAAAAATGTAGATTATGACATCTTATACATAAAGTGTGAAGGAGGAAGAAGAATGAAAAAGTAGTACTTTTACAATGTGTTTGAAAGCAAGTGACCATCAACTTAATACAGACTGTTATATCTATGAATGTTACTCTGTTCAAAGAGTCAAATAAGTTTGCTATCATACTATTGACCCTTTTCTTGCATTGGACAAAAGTAAAGTAAACAATGGAAAAAGAGTACTATTTTATATATCCGCCTGATTGAAGGTGATAATATTATCTCTATATTCTAGAATAGTCTAGAATCCTCACATCTCAGTAATATTCACAACTGATAAGAATAAGAAATGAGATGTGAATTATTTAGGTAAATTCTAACAAAGTGAATGTCATTAAATCTATTAATAAAACAGCTTATATAAAGGGTAAAACATTACATGTAGAATGTTTATAATTGTCACGTATTTTGCATCTTTAAAGGGAAAATAACTATCCATGGAGATAAATCACTTATTCTTTATGCCATCTCACTTGATTGGTAGTTTTGTTAATAAAATTTGTGAGCTAAATAATGGAGACAGTGTAATTTTTGTTATTTGAATGAATGGCACATGCAAAGTCCTGAGGTGGGAACTAACAGGTTGTGTGTAAGAAATGAAAGAAGGCCAGTGCAATTGTAGCATAGAGAGCAAGGAGTCTAGGGTGATAGAAAGGCCAGACTATGCAGATCTTTTTAGCACGTGAAGCATTTGCTTTTTATCATAAAAAATGGGAAGTCATTTATGTCTTTGTTACCTGTGTGAATGAAAATGAAGTAAATGTTGATTAGAGTTGGCATAAGAGAAAAAAAAGAAAAAGGGAAGTCACTGAAGTGTTTTAAACAAGAGGATAACAATCACATTTTCAATCTGAGAACAATCTCTCTTGCTGAATGTAGGCAATCAGTTTTAGAGAATAAACTATGCCAATTAGTTATGGTGCTGCTTGAGTACTCCAGAGTAGAGGCGGTGGTTTGTATGGCCATAGTGGTAGCAAATATGGAGAGAAATGAATGGATTTGAGGTAAATACAGAGGAGAAAACCTACACTGGTGGTAATAGATTGGGCATTTGGAATGATAGTATCAGTGAAGAATTCTAGGTTTCTGCTTTGGAAAACTGAATAAGTGGTATTGGTATTCGTGGGGATAGGATTATGTGAAGAAGGCTAGTATGGTGTAGGAGATAATGAGTTTGATTTGGGGATAATAAAATATTTGAGATGTTTTAAGCAGCCAAGTAGAAATATCAAGCTGGCAGTTAGGTGTAAAGATCTGAAGTGCAGAATAAAAGTCTGGGCTGGAGACAGAGTGAGTTATTAGTATATTAACATTGGTCGAAGTAGTGATCATGGATGAGATCATCTAGAGATAGAAAACAGTGCGAGAGGAGAGGAGGGCATAGGTCAAAGCCTTGGGGAAATTTCCACATTTAGTAGCAATGTACAAGAGGGAGAACCTACAGAGGACCTGAACAAGAGCAGCCAAAGGGGCAGGATGAGAAAAACAGGTGAATAAATGGCATGTATATCTTACGTGAAAATCACAAACTCATTGTCTTTTTGCATTAGAATGTACTATAAAAATCATACAGCCCAATGATTTAATTTTACTGATGAATAAACTGAGGACCAGAAAGAGAAGCAAATTGCTTAATATAAAGAAAGTTCTGGGATTATTCCACTGCTCATTAAGTGTAAGGATATTGTGTATGGGACAAGGGTAATGAACACATGTTTCCGTTGGGAAATGGTATCATTCTTGGATTTTGAGTCAGGAGACTGGTTTGAATTCTGGTTCTACCACTTTGCAGTTGAATGGCCTTGGATATGTTTCTTAATCTCACAACCTTTATGCATCTGTAAAAATGATTTATTATTTCATATGGCTGTTGTGAATTGAAGGTTAGATAATATATGTAAAAGTGCTTTGTAAACCATAAATCACTATATGTAAGAGTGCTATTCCTATACTGATTCAAATGTTCAAATTGTTTGTACAGAAGGATAAATAGATGAGAATAACTGGAAATTATATATCAGGAGAAAGAATTTCAGAAATATTTCTCTGCTAGGTATCTATATTTTTAAGCCATAGTATTCTAAATAGTTTGGTATTGGTGAAGGCAAAGATTAATCAGTGAAAGAGAGTACAGTAGAGAAGAAAAAGGAAGAACTTAGCATATGATAAATGTGGCATGACAAACAAATCCATTGCACTATTTAAAACTATTTTGGTACTACCACATAGCTTTTCTTAGGAAAAAAGTTGGATCACTGCATTATTACAAAATAAATTACAGGTGAATAAAAGATAAAACTATAAAAACTGAAATACTAAAGTTATAAAAATAAAATGTCAGTAAATATTTTAAAGTATATTTGGAGTAGAGAAAGCCATTTGCAACCTGGCATAAAAGTGAGAAATCATGAAAAGGTTTGATAATTTTGGCTTCATAAAAATTTATATTTATTCGGCATCTCAAAAACCCTACATTATAAATAAGATTGAAAGTCAAATCACATGTAGAAAAATATGTGCAATGTGGATGACAGACAAATTTTCATTTTAGTATTCTAATCAAGAAAGTTTTTTTTAATAAAAGAAAAATGCTTCAGTACGAAAATGGGCAATGTCAGGACCAAGGAATTAACAAATGAAAATATAAAAGTTACCTATTAATATATGATAACAGTAATCTTATATTACTAGTAATATCATACTAAACACCTTACTAGTAATCAAAGAACTTCAAAACTTCTCACCTATTAACAACAAATAAAAAGATTTGCTATGTCTAGTGTTAATACTGTCTGGAAATAAACTGTGGCATTTCTGCAGTGTAATCTAGAAATTAAAATAAATGTTTAAAATACACAAACAATTATATTGGTATAAACAAATGGTTGAATAAATACCTGGGGAAAACAGACAAATGGAAGAATTTTAAATATTCTTCAAATATTCAAAGCATAACTCTCAATTCCTCTAGTATTTATGTGTGGCTTACACATAGTGTCTTTCTTTCAAAGAGTATAGTGTGGGGAAAACAGAGTAACTCTACAGTATAGAAACCTGATCAAAGTGTCAGCCAGGGGATCAAGGTCAACAGTGATAAGTGATGTTGATAATATGTACCCCTTTCATATGATGCAATGAAAATGACACTTTGACTCAATGATCTTCCTTCTCAAAACCTACAACTGCAGTCTAATAACTAAGAGAAAAACATCAGAAAAACCCCAATTACAGGACATTCTACAAAAAACTGGCCCAGTAATTCTCAAAACTGTCAAGGTTATCAAAAAGAAGGAAAATCTGAGGAACTGTCATAGATGACCTTCCTCAATCATTCTGATTTAACTGTTTATTCTGATTTCACTAAACATTTAAATGACATACCTAACTTCCCTTGCTCTAATTTCATGCTTCTTCATGAAGAAGCTGTGTCATAACTTGGCTTCCAATGAAATTTACCTCTGAGGAAAACATATGTTCAACAAGCAGTTGATTCAGTTTCCCAGTCATGATAGTTCTCAGGATGGATCAATTCATTAGCATCAGCATTACCTGGCAACTTGTTAAAAATGCAAATTCTTGGGTCCACCCTAGATATACTGAATCAGAAACTCTAACACTGGGGCCCAGAAATCTGTGTTTTAACAACCCTGCCAAGTAATTCTGTTACATGCTTAAGTTTTAGAGCTACTGGATTAATTTATGTTCTTAGGACTAAAAAAAGGTAAGGGTAAGTGAGCAACCCTGAGAGTGGTCAGCTCTTGACTCTGCAGGACTGAAGACCAGCCCCTGCTCTGTGGTGACAAAGGAATGCTAAAGGTCTCCCTGTGAAGTTTTCTGGCCAGGCAGCCTGCAGGCATTTTCAAGGGAAAGCCTGAGCTTGCTTTGTATATTTTTTGTGTCTGCCATTGAACCAAAGTGTGATGTCCATGCAAGCATGTCTTTTAACACCTACTACCTGTGTATTTAGTTGGATAAGAAAAAAGGGAAGAAGGCAAAATGAAAAGGATTTTAACAGTCTCCAGGAGAACAGTAATAAATGTTCAACTTTCCAGACAACAGACTTCCAGTCTTGGAGATCATAATCATATAAGATATGCTCTTATTCATGACCCTGCTAACACTTTTTATTTATGACTTAAGAAAATGTAACAACCACTATACTTGAAAATCAGCTTGAAAAGGCACAAAGGAACACATCCTGTACCATTCAAGGGAGGAAAATACGTAGCGCATCTAGCAATTATAAATATATCACAAAATATTAGATTTATTATCATTCTCATTTTATGATGGAATGCAGAGCAAGTAGTAACTTACCATAGATTCAATACTTTCACTCAAATTCCTACATTTCTGTGTAGCTGGTGAATTTAACTCATCACTGTATTTAACATTGAGGATTTGAAAACTGCAATGGTAAAAGTAAGATTTCTGATCTGTAAAATAAAGAAAAGGCAAAATCAGTCTCACATTACTAAATATGTTAATCTTTAGTTTATTCAGGACTGTGGGAGGCTATATTACACAATTTAAGGGAAGCAAAATTTGCTTCCCTTCGAAGAAAGAAAATTCTAAATATAAATGTAACCAAAATAAAATTATTTTTCTTTCAGTTTTAAAAAATTGGTAAAGCTGAAACTATTAAAGATGTATGAAAATAAGGACAGCATTATTTGAGAAATTAAATTGCTCAGAAATATAATTTCATTCTACCATATTTTAGGGAGATTTGTGACTGCAGATTTTTTCATTCAAGAACTATTCATAACATCTATAATATGGTACTATTCATTTATCATTAAGGAACAGCCCAAAGTAATTTTGAATAGTTTTAAAACAATATTTCAAGTAATAGTTTTTCTAGAAGAATTCTTGTGGACTAAATTAGGAAATAAGTCTTCTAACAAGATATCTAATCTCCTGCCCAATGTGAATTACTGTTATCCAAAGGGTTTTCCAAAGGATATATATTCAATGGTGTGAGGGAAATAAAAATCCCTAAAACATACCTGTACATATCTTAGAAACATTATGAACATGGACATAACTTAATCTGTCTCAGGAAAAATTCCTGCTTCCTTTTGATCATTCATATTATGCAGGAAAATATGTTAGGAAAGAGTTGGACATTCTGGGGAAAAATAGTGTACTCCTTTGTGCCAGAGATACAAGTCTTCCGAAGGCCACCAATAGTATCTGGGGTGCACTTTGAAGATGGTTTACTGAGGCTCCTCCCTTTGTGTTTAAGTGCGACTACACAGTGTCATTAAGAGTGAAAATTAAATAATTTATTCCAAAATCTGATGCTTCCTTTTCCCACCTTTATAATTCACTTTAGATTTAGTTGATGCCAGGTGATTTGATAGCAAACGTAGTCAAAAGCAGTATTTAGTCACAACTTTATGATTGGATTGGCTGAAAGATTATTCCTAGTTCATAGGTTTCCTGAAATTGGTAATTTTATTGTACTACTGTGAGTTTTCCAACCTTTGATTAAGCAGTTTTATCCATTTGCAAATGGCAAAAATTTATGTTCTATACAGTGAAATATGTTCTTTCTTAATCTCTCTAAACACTCACACATACCCATACACTTACACACATAACCCCCCAAACCCATTCAATTTAAATGGTTTGACAGAATAATAGCTGTAAAAAAACCCTCTAAGTGTATTTTTAAGTGAAAAAAGCAGATTATAGCATGTATTATCTAGAGAAATTTGACACATTTTTTAATCTATGTTAAACCATGTCAAAGAATATTTTCACTGCTATATTAAGGAAAGCTGTTTATGAATGAGCAAGGTATATGTGTTCTTTATATTGTTTCTCATCTAAGTAGCCCATATTTTTTGATGTAATAACAAATAAACAGAATGAAAGAAACAAATAATAAAAGAACAAAATCCGTTTTTAAACTTCAATTTTATCCCTTCTACTTTATTGCAAATTCATCTCTTGTCACAACTGCTCTGCTCTTAAGACTGTTTTCAGGAGACAGATCATGAAGTAACAAATACTTGGGCATATCCAGCTTTTTATTGAAACTTAAAACTTTGCAATGTTTCACTTTTACAATTGTGTTAGGTTATTAAATGGAGAAGGAAATCCTGGTGTTAATGAAAAAAACATAATAGGCAAAATTCTAATATCAGAAAAGTGCCAAGATATTTTTTTCTTTGGTTAAAATAATTCTTGCTTGGGTAGTCATATTTATTATACTAAGGCTGAAAAAATAGAAGAGAGAAAATACTCATCGAGGGAAAGTATAGGCACAAACCCATGTCTAGGGATATATATATATATATATGATGTATAATTATATTAAGAAATAAAAGTGGCAATAAAGAGAATGCCAAACTTTTAATCTGAAAATATATTTAGTTATTTAGTCTGAAGAGTGGCACTTTTAAACTTCTGGTACTTACCAAAAGCTAAAAAGTGGGCAAGCAGTGCTATGGTCACCGCCAGGATTACCACCACTGCAACAGCAATGAAACACACAACATAGGGATTCAGGCATCTTGAGGTCCATGGTGCCCGTACTGGCCTTAGAAGAAGAGAGAAATATCAAAGGCTACTCATCTCACTCAGGGAAGCCATTATTTCAGTGCTCATGACCACTTTCTACCTTCCTAAGTTTCTTAGCTTGTACATGCTTGCATTTACAGGAAATAGAAGAATTCTTGATCAGACTGTAGTCCTGGAAATGAACCCGAACTGAGCAACATTCTTTTTAATGTTTTTTTAAAGATTTATTATTTATTTACAGTTGATATAGAATCTTATATTGGTTTCAAGTACACAACACAGTGCTTCAGCAATTACCCATATTATTAAATCCTCATCCCACTAGTGCAGTTACTGTCTGTCCACATAGGAAGATGTTACCGAACCACGGACTACATTCTACATGCTGTACTACCACCCAAGTGATGAACTTATATTATGATTGAGAATTATCTTGCTCATCCTCCCCACCCATTCACACCCCAGCCCTTCTCCCATGGTAATTGCTAGTCACTTCTCAATGTCTCTGAGTGTATTGCTATTTTGTTTTGTTTTATATTCCACATAAGTGAAATTATGTGGTATTTGTCTTTCTCCACCTGACTTATTTCACTTAGCATAATATCTTCCAACTCCATCCATGTTGTTGCAAATGGCAGGATTTCTTTTTCATTTTTATATGGCTGAATAATATCCCATTGTGTATATGTACCACCTCTTCTTTATCCATTCATCTGTTGATGGACACTCTGGTCACTTCCATATCTTGGTTCTTGTAAATAATGTGGCAATAAACAAAAGGGTACATATATCTTTTTGAATCAGGGATTTTGTTTTCTTTGGGTAAATTCCTAGAAGTGGAATTATTGGGTGGCATGGTATTTTTATTTTTTATTTTTTGAAGAACCTTCATACTGCTTTCCACACTGGCTGCAACAATTTACGTTTCCACCACAGTATAGGAGGGTTTCCTTTTCTCCATGTCCTTGCCAATACTTGTTATTTCTTGTCTTCTGGGTAATGGTCATTCTGACTGGTGTGAGGTGATACTTCATTGTAGTTTTGATTTGCATTTCCTTGATTCTTAGCAATGTGGAGCATCTTTTCACGTGCTTGTTGCCATTTGTATTTTTCCTTTGGAAAAGTGTATGTTCAGGTCTTCAGCCCATTTTTCATCAGGTTATTTGTTTTTTTTAGTGTTGAGTCATATGAGTGCTTCATATGTTTTGCATGTTAGCCCCTTATCTGATAAATTGTTTATGAATATATTCCCCCTTATTGTAGGTTGCCTTTTCTGTTGATGTTGTCCTTTGCTGTTCAGAAGCTTTTTAGTTTTATGTAATCCTAATTGTTCAATTTTTATTTTGTTTCCCTTGCATGGAGAGATGTGTCCAGAAAAATATTGCTCATGTTTATGTTAAAGAGATATTTGCTTATGTTTTCTTCTAAGAGTTTTTTATGGTTTCATGTCTTACATTTAGGTCTTTAATCCATTTTGAATTTACTTTTGTGTATGGTGTTAGTAAGTAAGCCAGTGTCATTCTCTTGCATGTAGCTGTCCAATTTTCCCAACACCAGTTATTGAAGAGACTGTCTTTTCTATATTAATTTCCATGGCACATTTGTCATACATAATTGACCATGTAAGTGTGGGTTTATTTCTGGGATCTCTATTCTGTTCCACTGATCAATGGGTCTATTCGTGTACCAGTATCAAACTGTTTTGATCGCTATAGGTTTGTAGTATAGCTTGAAGTCAGGGTTGAGACCCACAGCTTTGCTCTTCTTTTTTAAGATTGCTTTGGCTATTCAGGGCTTTTGTGGTTCCATATGAATTTTAGATTTTTTGCTCTAGTTCATTGAAAAACGTTATTGATATTTTGCTAGGGATTGCACTGAATCTGTAAATTGCTTCGAGCCAGATGACCATTTTGACAATAGCAATTCTTTGTCTCTTCTTGAATTTCTCTCATGAGTGTCCTATAGTTTACAGAGTACAGTTCTTTCACCTCCTTGGTTAGGTTTATTCCTAGGTATTCTTTTTGATGCAATTATAAGTGGAATTGTTTTCTTGATTTCTCTTCTGTTAGTTCATTGTTAATATATAGGAATGAAGCGGATTTCTGTACATTGATTTGTATCCTGAAATTTTACTGAATGCAGTTATTCTAATAGTTTTTTTTAGTGGCATCTTTAGGGTTTGAACTGCTTTGGCAGTGTCTGACATATGTTCAGCCATTCTATTTTTGTTTTAATTTGTCTCCATGTATTGCTCGATTTATTCTTTGATTTTTTTTTATTGATCCCTTGATTATTTAGAAGCATGTTGTTTAGCTTCCATGTGTTTGTGGGTGTTTGTTTTCTTCATGTGATTTATTTCTATTTTCATACCATGGTGATCTGAAAGGATGCTTGATACAATGTCAGTCTTTTTGTATTTATTGAGACTCTCTTTGTGTCCTAATATGTGATCTATACTGTAGAATGTCCCATGTGCACTTGAGAAAAATGTGTACCCTGCTGTTTTCGATGGAAAGTTCTCTGAGTATATATCTGTAAGTCCATCTGATCTTATATGTTGTTCAGTGCCTCTGTTTCCTTATTTATATTTTGTTTGGATGATTTTTCCATTGATGTAAGTGATGTGCTGAAGTTCCTTCATATGATTGAGTTGTAGTCTATTTCTCCCTTTAGTTTCATTAGTATTTGTTTACATATTTAGTTGCTCCTATGTTGGGTGCATAAATATTTATAATGGTTTCATTGTCTTGTTGGACATATCCTTTATCATTATGTAATGTTCTTCTTTGTCTCCTGTTATTGCATTTTAAAATCTATTTTGTCTGATACAAGTAATGTTACTCTTGCTTTTTTCTCCCTATTATTTGCATGAAATATCTTTTTCCATCATTTCACTTTCAGCTTATGTATGTTTTTGGGTTTGAAATGAATCTCTTGTAGGCAGCATATAGATGGGTATTTTTTATCCATTCTGCCACCCTGTGTCTCTTGATTGGTACATTCAGCCCATTTAACTTAAGGTAGCTATTGATAGGTATGTACTTATTCCCATTTTATTAATAATTTTCTGATTGTTTTTGTAGTTCCTCTCTGTTCCTTTCTTCCTCTCTTATATTCTTCTCTTGTTATTCGATTGTTTTCTTGAGCATTGTGGTTTTGTTTCTTTTTTTAAAAATTTTTGTTTATCTATTATAGGATTTAGGCTTTTGGGTCCCATAGGGTCATAGTTTCCTAAATATGTAACAGTTTATATTAAGTTGATGGTTGCTCTATTTTGAATATAGTCTAAAAGTACCTCTTTTTAATTCTTCTTCCTCTTCCATACTTTGTGTATTAGATGTCATAATCTGCATTTTTTTCTGTATCCATTGACTGATTTTGTTTACAGTTAATTTTACTACTTTTTTTGTCATACTTGCTTAGTTAGTAATTGGTCAATTACCTTTACCTTGAGTTTATTGTCAATGATGAAAAATATTTAGGCTGAAGAACATTTCCATTTACAGAAGTCCCTTTAAAATATCCTGTAAGGCCAGTTAGTGGTGGTGAATCCTTTTAACTTCTGTTTATCTGGAAAACTTTTAATCTCTCCTTCAATTCTGGATGATAACCTTGGTAGGTAGAGGATTCTTGATTGAAGGTCCTGTTTTAATACATTAAATATTTCATGCATTTCTTTCTGGTCTGTAAAGTTTCTGCTGAGAAATCTGCTGATAGCCTGATGGGTTTTCCCTTATAACTAATTTTCTGCTTCTCTCTACCTGCTTTCAATACCTTCTATTTCTATTTATCTTTTATCTTTGTCCTTTTAATTATTGTATGTCCTGGTATTATCTTCCCTGGGTTCATTTTGTTAGGGGCTCTTTGCACTTCCAGAACCTGAATGTCTATTTCCTTCTCCAGACTGAGGATTTTAAACAGTTATTTCTTCAAAGAGACTTTCTACTCCTTGATTTCTTCCTCCTGGTACCCCATTATGGGAATAGTATTTTGTTTGGAGCTGTCACTTAGCTCTCTCAACATCCTCTCATTTCTAGATATTCTTTCTTTTTTCCTATTCCTCTAGTTTCATTTTTTCTCTTCTCTGATTTCCATGTCTTTGATTGTCTCCTCTATTTATAGAAATCTATTATCCATTTCCCCCATTGTATTTTTCATTTCAGTTACTGTGTTCTTTAGATCTGAGTGGCATTTTTTCCAACTCTTGTATGTCTTTGTTGAAGTTCTCCTTGAGATCGGAAATTCTTTACCACAGGTCAGTGAGCATATTTGTGACTTACTTTTAAATTTTTATCAAGAAGATTGGTGATCATCATTTCATTTAGTCCTCTTTACAGTGTCTTATCCTTTTATTTTGTTTGGAACATATTCCTCTGCCACCTAAATTTTTCTATGTTTCTTCTCTTGTATTAGATAGATCCATTATACCTCCTGGTCTAGAGAGTAATGGCTCTATGAAGAAGGTGTCCTGTGGTTCCCAGAGTCCAAGACTTTCCTCACCAGTCCTGATTCTCCTTTGTGGTGGAGCTTCAGTTGCTGTTGGTCAGCAGGGCTGCTTTTCTGCCTATCTGCTGACAGTGGCTGATCTTAGTCAGCAGAGGTCCTCTGTGACTTGTGCATGGGTGCTTCTGCTGGTATTGTTGTGTACAGGGCTGCCCTCTGTCTACCTGCAGTGATAGTAGGGCTGCTGGCCCAACAGGTTGGGTAGCACAGGTGTGCAAGGGATTGTGGCTTTGGGCTGCCAGTGAGGACGAAGGACCATTTGGAGTTGGTTCCTGCAGGCACCTCCCCTGTTGGGCTGTGAGTGGGCTGGGAAAGTTGAGAAAGCCTCCCTCTGCCTGCCAGGTAAATAGTCTTCCTCTCTGCCAGGCAGCGAAGTCTGACCGCTGCTGGGTCATTTGGGACTGTTGGGTGGGTGGGCTGATAGTCTGTAGGGACATGCCTTGGGACTGAACCACCAGAGAGGTTGATGGAGTGTTTGGGTCTACTTCAAGTGCCTGACCAGTTGGGCTGAGGAAG